TCTTTGGAAAAAAATCTTTAAAAAATCCACGTTTCTTGGACATTCGGTCTTTGGAAAAAATTCTTTAAAAAATCCACGTTTATTGGACCTTCGGTCTTTGGAAAAAAATATTTAAAAAATCCACGTTTCTTGGACCTTCCGTCTTTGGAAAAAAATCTTTAAAAAATCCACGTTTCTTGGACCTTTGGTCCTTGGAAAAAAATCTTTAAAAAATCCACGTTTCTTGGACCTTTGGTCCTTGGAAAAAAATCTTTAAAAAATCCACGTTTCTTGGACCTTTGGTCCTTGGAAAAAAATCTTTAAAAAATCCACGTTTCTTGGACATTCGGTCTTTGGAAAAAAATCTTTAAAAAATCCACGTTTCTTGGACCTTCGGTCCTTAGAAAAAAATCTTTAAAAAATCCACGTTTCTTGGACCTTCGGTCTTTGGAAAAAAAACTTTAAAAAATCCACGTTTCTTGGACCTTCGGTCCTTGGAAAAAATTCTTTAAAAAATCCACGTTTATTGGACCTTCGGTCCTTGGAAAAAATTCTTTAAAAAATCCACGTTTATTGGACCTTCGGTCTTTGGAAAAAAATATTTAAAAAATCCACGTTTCTTGGACCTTCCGTCTTTGGAAAAAAATCTTTAAAAAATCCACGTTTCTTGGACCTTTGGTCCTTGGAAAAAAATCTTTAAAAAATCCACGTTTCTTGGACCTTTGGTCCTTGGAAAAAAATCTTTAAAAAATCCACGTTTCTTGGACCTTTGGTCCTTGGAAAAAAATCTTTAAAAAATCCACGTTTCTTGGACCTTTGGTCCTTGGAAAAAAATCTTTAAAAAATCCACGTTTCTTGGACATTCGGTCTTTGGAAAAAAATCTTTAAAAAATCCACGTTTCTTGGACATTCGGTCTTTGGAAAAAATTCTTTAAAAAATCCACGTTTATTGAACCTTCGGTCTTTGGAAAAAAATATTTAAAAAATCCACGTTTCTTGGACCTTCCGTCTTTGGAAAAAAATCTTTAAAAAATCCACGTTTCTTGGACCTTTGGTCCTTGGAAAAAAATCTTTAAAAAATCCACGTTTCTTGGACCTTTGGTCCTTGGAAAAAAATCTTTAAAAAATCCACGTTTCTTGGACCTTTGGTCCTTGGAAAAAAATCTTTAAAAAATCCACGTTTCTTGGACATTCGGTCTTTGGAAAAAAATCTTTAAAAAATCCACGTTTCTTGGACCTTTGGTCCTTGGAAAAAAATCTTTAAAAAATCCACGTTTCTTGGACCTTTGGTCCTTGGAAAAAAATCTTTAAAAAATCCACGTTTCTTGGACCTTTGGTCCTTGGAAAAAAATCTTTAAAAAATCCACGTTTCTTGGACATTCGGTCTTTGGAAAAAAATCTTTAAAAAATCCACGTTTCTTGGACATTCGGTCTTTGGAAAAAATTCTTTAAAAAATCCACGTTTATTGGACCTTCGGTCTTTGGAAAAAAATATTTAAAAAATCCACGTTTCTTGGACCTTCCGTCTTTGGAAAAAAATCTTTAAAAAATCCACGTTTCTTGGACCTTTGGTCCTTGGAAAAAAATCTTTAAAAAATCCACGTTTCTTGGACCTTTGGTCCTTGGAAAAAAATCTTTAAAAAATCCACGTTTCTTGGACCTTTGGTCCTTGGAAAAAAATCTTTAAAAAATCCACGTTTCTTGGACCTTTGGTCCTTGGAAAAAAATCTTTAAAAAATCCACGTTTCTTGGACATTCGGTCTTTGGAAAAAAATCTTTAAAAAATCCACGTTTCTTGGACCTTCGGTCCTTAGAAAAAAATCTTTAAAAAATCCACGTTTCTTGGACCTTCGGTCTTTGGAAAAAAACTTTAAAAAATCCACGTTTCTTGGACCTTCGGTCCTTGGAAAAAATTCTTTAAAAAATCCACGTTTATTGGACCTTCGGTCCTTGGAAAAAATTCTTTAAAAAATCCACGTTTATTGGACCTTCGGTCTTTGGAAAAAAATATTTAAAAAATCCACGTTTCTTGGACCTTCCGTCTTTGGAAAAAAATCTTTAAAAAATCCACGTTTCTTGGACCTTTGGTCCTTGGAAAAAAATCTTTAAAAAATCCACGTTTCTTGGACCTTTGGTCCTTGGAAAAAAATCTTTAAAAAATCCACGTTTCTTGGACCTTTGGTCCTTGGAAAAAAATCTTTAAAAAATCCACGTTTCTTGGACATTCGGTCTTTGGAAAAAAATCTTTAAAAAATCCACGTTTCTTGGACATTCGGTCTTTGGAAAAAATTCTTTAAAAAATCCACGTTTATTGGACCTTCGGTCTTTGGAAAAAAATATTTAAAAAATCCACGTTTCTTGGACCTTCCGTCTTTGGAAAAAAATCTTTAAAAAATCCACGTTTCTTGGACCTTTGGTCCTTGGAAAAAAATCTTTAAAAAATCCACGTTTCTTGGACCTTTGGTGTTTGGAAAAAATTCTTTAAAAAATCCACGTTTCTTGGACCTTTGGTCCTTGGAAAAAAATCTTTAAAAAATCCACGTTTCTTGGACCTTTGGTGTTTGGAAAAAATTCTTTAAAAAATCCACGTTTCTTGGACCTTTGGTCCTTGGAAAAAAATCTTTAAAAAATCCACGTTTCTTGGACATTCGGTCTTTGGAAAAAAATCTTTAAAAAATCCACGTTTCTTGGACCTTCGGTCCTTAGAAAAAAATCTTTAAAAAATCCACGTTTCTTGGACCTTCGGTCTTTGGAAAAAAAACTTTAAAAAATCCACGTTTCTTGGACCTTCGGTCCTTGGAAAAAAATCTTTAAAAAATCCACGTATGTTAGACCTTCGCTCCTTAGAAAAAATTCTTTAAAAAATCCACTTTTTTTAGACCTTTGCTCCTTAGAAAAAATTCTTTAAAAAATCCACGTTTATTGGACCTTCGCCCCTTGGCAAAAATTCTTTAAAAAATCCACGTTTTTTAGACCTTCGGTCCTTGGAAAAAATTATTTAAAACATCCACGTTTATTAGACCAATGGTCCTTGAAACAAAAATCTTTAAAAAATCCACGTTTATTAGACCAATGGTAATTGGAATAAAAATTCTTTAAAAAATCCAGGTTTATTGGACCTTCGGTCCTTGGAATAAAAATTCTTTAAAAAATCCAGGTTTATTGGACCTTCGGTCCTTGGAAAAAAATTCTTTAAAAAATCCAGGTTTATTGGACCTTCGATCCTTGAAAACAAATTCTTTAAAAAATTCACGTTTATAGATCGGTAGCTCCTGGAAAAAAATCTTTAAAAAATTCACGTTTATAGATCGGCATGTCCTGGAAAAAAATCTTTAAAAAATCCACGTTTATAGGTCACAAGGTCCTTGGGAAAAATTCTTTAAAAAAAATACGTTTTGTAGACCTCCGGTCCTTGGAAAAAATTCTTTAAAAAATCCACGTTTTTTAGATCTTCGGTCCTTGGAAAAATTCTTTAAAACATCCACGTTTATTAGACCAATGGTCCTTGAAACAAAAATCTTTAAAAAATTGGAATAAAAATTCTTTAAAAAATTCAGATTTATTGGACCTTGGGTCCTTGGAAAATGATTCTTTAAAAAATCCAGGTTTATTGGACCTTCGGTCCTTGGAAAAAATTCTTTAAAAAATCCTCGTTTATGGGTCAGAAGGACCTTGGAAAAAAATCTTTAAAAAATCCTCGTTTATGGGTCAGAAGGTCCTTGGAAAAAATTCTTTAAAAAATCCACGTTTATGGGTCAGATGGTCCTTGGAAAAAATTCTTTAAAAAATCCACGTTTATGGGTCAGATGGTCCTTGGAAAAAATTCTTTAAAAAATCCACGTTTATGGGTCAGAAGGTCCTTTGAAAAAATTCTTTAAAAAATCCACGTTTATGGGTCAGATGGTCCTTGGAAAAAATTCTTTAAAAAATCCACGTTTATTAGACCTTTGGCCCTTGGAAAAAATTCTTTAAAAAATCCACGTTTATGGGTCAGATGGTCCTTGGAAAAAATTCTTTAAAAAATCCACGTTTATGGGTCAGATGGTCCTTGGAAAAAATTCTTTAAAAAATCCACGTTTATGGGTCAGATGGTCCTTGGAAAAAAATTCTTTAAAAAATCCACGTTTATGGGTCAGATGGTCCTTGGAAAAAAATCTTTAAAAAATCCACGTTTATGGGTCAGATGGTCCTTGGAAAAAAATTCTTTAAAAAATCCACGTTTATGGGTCAGATGGTCCTTGGAAAAAAATTCTTTAAAAAATCCACGTTTATGGGTCAGATGGTCCTTGGAAAAAAATTCTTTAAAAAATCCACGTTTATGGGTCAGATGGTCCTTGGAAAAAAATTCTTTAAAAAATCCACGTTTATGGGTCAGATGGTCCTTGGAAAAAAATTCTTTAAAAAATCCACGTTTATGGGTCAGATGGTCCTTGGAAAAAAATTCTTTAAAAAATCCACGTTTATGGGTCAGATGGTCCTTGGAAAAAAATTCTTTAAAAAATCCACGTTTATGGGTCAGATGGTCCTTGGAAAAAAATTCTTTAAAAAATCCACGTTTATGGGTCGGATGGTCCTTAAAACAAAATTCTTTAAAAAATCCACGTTAATGGGTCAGATGGTCCTTGAAACAAAATTCTTTAAAAAATCCACCTTAATGGGTCAGAAGGTCCTTGAAACAAAATTCTTTAAAAAATCCACGTTTATTCTAAAAAATTCTTTAAAAAATCCACGTTTATGGGTCAGATGGTCCTTGGAAAAAAATATTTAAAAAATCCACGTTTATGGGTCGATGGTCCTTGGAAAAAATTCTTTAAAAAATCCACGTTTATTAGACCTTCGGTCATTGGAAAAAAATCTTTAAAAAATCCACGTTTATGGGTCGATGGTCCTTGGAAAAAATTCTTTAAAAAATCCACGTTTATTAGACCTTCGGTCATTGGAAAAAAATCTTTAAAAAATCCACGTTTATTGGACCTTCGGTCCTTGGAAAAAAATTCTTTAAAAAATCCACGTTTATTCAGATATTTAAATATTTTTTTTATTAATTTTATTGGCCAATATCCAAATTTAAAAAAATATAAATATATTCTGGCAAATTAGCCTCGTTTGGGAATGTTCAGCTACTTTCCTCCTCACCACCACCACCTCCCAAGTTGAGTTCAATTGAAGGCTAAATAAATAAAAAAAAAATAAATTTTCAGATTTCAAAAAAAATCAAAATTGAAATAATTTTGACATACCTTAAAGCCACCACCACCGCCCCGTCTGCCGAAGCCTTTGCCACCAAAACCTCGACGGCCAAAACCTCGGCGGTTGCCAAAACCTCTGCCGGCCATGCCGAAGAAAGCCATGGCACTCTCCGTGGCGATGAGCAAAACCAGGAGGCCAGTCAAAACTGTCAGCAATTTCATGGCCAAAAATTTCGAAGAGCAACTCTTTTGAATTCCAAACCAAAAGTGGTGGATTTTTGAAAACCGTATATATTTATAAACTATTTTTCTCCAATTAATATTTAAATTTCCGAACTAATTCACGGACAGTCGGATTTGCATGGAAATGCATTGGACGTGCGTGATATGGAATTTTTAGGGGTTTAAATTTGAAAAGAAAAAAAAATTGAAAAAAAAATAAGTCAAATCGGAATTTGGGTTTCAATATTTAAGGCCTAACAAATCGGTTATTTAGTTAAAGTTCTTCCAGGTCTGGTTCCACGATACATCTACTTCTCGTCCTCCAAAAAATGCAGTTTTTACCATTGCTGGCTGGCGTCTTGGCCGTTCTGTTGGTGATTTCGGATACCACCTCGGCCCATGTTTCGAAAAGGGAACTGAAGCGCAGCAATGCCTTTAGACGTGCCAGAGGATAACTTGAGCAGGGACAGAAAAATGGAGATATAATTTAAAATAAATAAAGTTTTGAAAATTTTCTAAAGCTCCAAAGGAGTGGATTTTTTTGAAAATATTTTAAAGGACATCTGAAACTTCAGGTTTTTTTAAGAATTTAGTTTCAAGGACCTTCTGACCCATAAACGTGGATTTTTTTAAAGAATTTGGTTTCAACGACCTTCTGACCCATAAACGCGGATTTTTTAAAGAATTTTGTTTCCAAGGACCTTCTGACCCATAAACGTGGACTTATAGCCCCTCAAACGTAAATTTTTTAAAGAAATTTTTCTCAAGGACTTATAGCCCCTCAAACGTGGATTTTTAAAGAAATTTTTCTCAAGGACTTATAGCCCCTCAAACGTGGATTTTTAAAGAAATTTTTCTCAAGGACTTATAGCCCCTCAAACGTGGATTTTTAAAGAAATTTTTCTCAAGGACTTATAGCCCCTCAAATGTGGATTTTTAAAGAAATTTTTCTCAAGGACTTATAGCCCCTCAAACGTGGATTTTTAAAGAAATTTTTCTCAAGGACTTATAGCCCCTCAAACGTGGATTTTTAAAGAAATTTTTCTCAAGGACTTATAGCCCCTCAAACGTGGATTTTTAAAGAAATTTTTCTCAAGGACTTATAGCCCCTCAAACGTGGATTTTTAAAGAAATTTTTCTCAAGGACTTACAGGACAATAAACCCGTTTTTTATTTTTTTTAATTAATTTTTTTTATTTTGTTGTTTTTAATTAAACCTTTTTTTTTTGAAAAATCAAATCATATTCAGTCATCTATCCAATTTTATCAACGACGGCTGCACCAACTCCTTCAACGGCCTTGCCGGCCACATGAGCCTGGTTGAGGGAAAGAAATTTTTGAAAAAAAGAAACTTTAAATAAAAAAGCCCCTCCTTCAACTTACCCCAGCCCTGATGTAGTGACCCTTGTTGCCGCCACCACCACCTCCACGTCGGCCTTTGGCCTCAATTTGTCCAGTGGCCAAGGCCAGGATCAGGGCCACCACAGCGAAAATGTGCAAGAAATTCATTTGGAAATGCGTTTGTTTTTTTTTTAGAAGTTGAATTCTTAACAAGAGAACGTCGAAGTTTTCACTGAAGATTCTGAAATCGATGCTGAGTTTTTATAGTCCAATATTTGTGGTTAGTTCGGAGTCGATATTAATAGACGATTAATTTATAGGTGACTAATAGGCGTTATTAGAAATAGGTTATGATTAACATTGAAATAAGCGAATCGAAACCACAGAGATTTAAAATAATGGCTGAGCAACGGATCTCTAAAAAATGATATTCAAATATTAAAAAAAAAAAATATTGAGAAAAATTTCTTTAAAAATCCACGTTTATTGAGCCTTTGGACCTTGAGAAAAATTTCTTTAAAAATCCACGTTTATTGAGCCTTTGGTCCTTGAGAAAAATTTCTTTAAAAATCCACGTTTATTGAGCCTTTGGTCCTTGAGAAAAATTTCTTCAAAAATCCACGTTTATTGAGCCTTTGGTCCTTGAGAAAAATTTCTTCAAAAATCCACGTTTATTGAGCCTTTGGTCCTTGAGAAAAATTTCTTTAAAAATCCACGTTTATTGAGCCTTTGGTCCTTGAGAAAAATTTCTCTAGAAATTCACGTTAATTGTTTAGTAGTTCCTTGAGAAAAATTCCTTTAAAAATCCACGTTTATTGGGCTATAGGTCCTTGAGAAAAAATTATTTAAAAATCCACTTTTATTGGTCGGTAGGTCAATTAGAAAAAATTCTTTAAAAACGTTCCTTCATTTAAAAACATTTATCGACTTTTTGGTCCTTAAAAAAATTCTTAAAAAATCCATGTTTATTGGGCTATAGGTCCTTGAACAAAATCCTTAAAAAATCCACGTTTATTGGGCTTTGGTCCTTGAGAAAAAAATCTTAAAAAGTCCATGTTTATTGGGCTATAGGTCCTTGAACAAAATCCTTAAAAAATCCACGTTTATTGGGCTTTGGTCCTTGAGAAAAAAATCTTTAAAAATCCACGTTTATTGGGCTATAGGTCCTTGAACAAAATCCTTTAAAAATCCACGTTTATTGGGCTATAGGTCCTTGAGAAAAAAATTCTTTAAAAATCCACGTTTATTGGTCAGTAGGTCCTTGAGAAAAATTCCTTTAAAAATCCACGTTTATTGATCAGTAGGTCCTTGAGAAAAATTCCTTTAAAAATCCACGTTTATTGATCAGTAGGTCCTTGAGAAAAATTTCTTTAAAAATCTACGTTTATTGGTCAGTAGGTCCTAGGAAAAAATTATTTAAAAATCCACGTTTATTGGGCTATAGGTCCTTAAGAAAATCTCCTTAAAAAATCCGAGTTTATTGGGGTTAGGTCCTTCAGAAAAATTCCTTTTAAAATCCACGTTTATTGGGGTCAGGTCCTTCAGAAAAATTCCTTTAAAAATCCACGTTTATTGGTCAGTAGGTCCTGGGAAAAAATTATTTAAAAATCCACTTTTATTGGTCAGTAGGTCCTAGGAAAAAATTTCTTTAAAAATCCACGTTTATTGAGCCTTTGGTCCTTGAGAAAAATTTCTTTAAAAATCCACGTTTATTGATCAGTAGGTCCTTGAGAAAAATTCCTTTAAAAATCCACGTTTATTGATCAGTAGGTCCTTGAGAAAAATTCCTTTAAAAATACACGTTTATTGATCAGTAGGTCCTTGAGAAAAATTCCTTTAAAAATCCACGTTTGAAGGTCGAATAAAATTCTTGGCTAACCACAAAATTATTGAATACGATGATTCAATATTGGCCACAACATTTTCCAATTATATCTTTCTAATCATCCGACCAAAGGCTGATATAAAAACCCCGCGGATTCAAAAGATCCACATCAAACACTGCCCCATACTCAACTCGTGTAGAAGTAAATTTTCAAAAAAAAAAACACACACACAAAATGAATTTCCTACACATTTTCACAGTCCTTGCCCTGATCCTGGCCATTGCCACCACTCAAAATGAGGCCAAGAAGGGAGGCAAGAGAAATAACCCTTACGTTAGGGCCGGGGTAAGTTCAAGCTGAAATTCCGAAAAATTTCAGGAAAACAATTTATTCTAACATCCTTGATTTTTTTTACTTCAAACAGGCACATGTTGCAGGCAAAGCAGTTGAGGGCATGGGCGGGGCCATTGCTGCCAAGATTTTTGAAGGAAAGTGAGGAGATTCGGAAGAAGATTCTTAGATAATAAAAACTTAAAAACAAAATCTAAAAATATCTTTTGTTTTCCTAAAATTGGGGTTTGGGAAAGAATATTTTTTGACAAGGACTTTCAGAACTGGATTTTTAAAGGAATTTTTTTCAAGGACCTACACCCCAATAAAGATTTTTTTCTCAAGGACCTGGACGTGGATTTTTAAAGGATTTTTTTTCTCAAGGACCTGGACGTGGATTTTTAAAGAATTTTTTTCTCAAGGACCTGGATTTTTCAAGAATTTTTTTCTCAAGGACCTGGACATGGATTTTTAAAGAATTTTTTCTCAAGGACCTGGACGTGGATTTTTTTTCTCAAGGACCTGGACGTGTATTTTTAAAGAATTTTTTCTCAAGGACCTGGACGTGGATTTTTAAAGATTTTTTTCTCAAGGACCTGGACGTGGATTTTTAAAGAATTTTTTCTCAAGGACCAAATGGTCAATAAACATGGATTTTTAAAGAATTTTTTTCTCAAGGACCTGGACGTGGATTTTTAAAGAATTTTCTCTCGAGGACCTGGACTTGGATTTTTAAAGATTTTTTCTCAAGGACCTGGACATGGATTTTTAAAGAATTTTTTCTCAAGGACCTGGACGTGGATTTTTATGGAATTTTTTCTTAAGGACTTGGACGTGGATTTTTAAAGATTTTTTTTTCAACGACCTGGACGTGGATTTTTAAAGAATTTTTTTTCAAGGACCTGGACGTGGATTTTTAAAGAATTTTTTTCTCAAGGACCTGGACGTGGATTTTTAAAGAATTTTTTTCTCAAGGACCTGGACGTGGATTTTTAAAGAATTTTTTCTCAAGGACCTGGACGTGGATTTTTAAAGAATTTTTTTCTCAAGGACCTGGACGTGGATTTTTAAAGAATTTTTTTCTCAAGGACCTGGACGTGGATTTTTAAAGAATTTTTTTTCTCAAGGACCTGGACGTGGATTTTTAAAGAATTTTTTTCTCAAGGACCTGGACGTGGATTTTTAAAGAATTTTTTTCTCAAGGACCTGGACGTGGATTTTTTAAGAATTTTTTCTCAAGGACCTGGACGTGGATTTTTAAACAATTTTTTCTCAAGGACCAAAAGGTCATCAAACGTGGATTTTTAAAGAATTTTTTCTCAAGGACCTGGATGTGGATTTTTAAAGAATTTTTTTCTCAAGGACCTGGACGTGGATTTTTAAAGAATTTTTTTCTCAAGGACCTGGACGTGGATTGTTTAAGAATTTTTTTTCTCAAGGACCAAAAGGTCATCAAACGTGGATTTTTAAAGAATTTTTTTCTCAAGAACCTAGACGTGGATTTTTAAAAAATTATTTTCTCAAGGACCTGGACGTGGATTTTTAAAGAATTTTTTCTCAAGGACCTGGACGTGGATTTTTAAAGAATTTTTTCACAAGGACCAAAAGGTCGATAAACGTTAATTTTTAAAGAATTTTTTTCTCAAGGGCCAAAAGGCCAAGAAGCGTGGATTTTTAAAGAATTTTTTCTCAAGGACCTATAGCCCAATAAAAGTGGATTTTTAAACAATTTTTTCTCAAGGACCTATAGCCCAATAAAAGTGGATTTTTAAACAATTTTTTCTCAAGGACCTATAGCCCAATAAACGTGGATTTTTTAAGGAAGTTTTTTTTCAAGGACCTGTAGGAACATAAACTAGGGTTTTTGAAAAACTTTTTTATTTGGGAAAAGTTATTCTACAATTTCATCCCCACTTCCTTGACGAAGATGATGCCTTACGTCCGCCACCTCTTCCACCGCCTCCACCTCCTCCTCCGGAGTTCTTGGCCCGATGTTGTTGGAAAGCTCTTTGCAGCAGCTAAGAAATGGACAATTAATTTGAAAACAAACCCTAATATTCAACATTTTATTCCAATACTCACAATATTACCCAGGGCACCACTCAAAACGCTGCCCAGAAATGTTACCAGACAAAATAGAACTATGAAGAATTTCATTTCAGGAAAAAAATTTCCCCAGCAACCAAGACAGAAGGGCGATTCAATACTGAGTTGTAGTTCACAATTGAAACTTAATTTTGTAATATTTTTTTTTTTTGGGAAATAAAAAATATTCAAATAATACCAGAACGTGTTTCGGCATAAATTTACTTTCAGTGGTTACGTCAGATTTCCATAAACTTGGAAATTTTAAACAATTTTTTTCGATGGCCATCGGACCCATAGATTTTTTGCAGATATTTTTTCAAGAACCATCGGTTCATCAAAGGTGGATTTTTTAGAGAATTTATTTTAATGACCAAATGACCTTCCAAAGAGGATTTTTAAAGATTTTTTTTTCAAGGACCATTGGTCTAATAAACGTGGATTTTTTAAAGGATTGATTTCAAGGACCATTTGTCCCTCCAACTTCGATTTTTAAAGATTTTTCCAAGGATCATTGGTCTAATAAACGTGGATTTTTTAAAGAATTTTTATCAAGGACCATCCCAACAATAAACGTGGATTTTTAAAAAAATTCTTCCAAGGACTTTCCGTCCCATAAACATGGATTTTTTGAAGATATTTTTTAAAAGACCATCGGTCCATCAAATTTGGGTTTTTTTAGGGAATTTATTTCAAGGACCAAATGACCTTCCAAGGAGGATTTTTTTAAGAATTTATTTTCAAAGACCTTTTGACTTATAAACGTGGATTTTTTAGAGAATTTATTTTAAGGACCAAATGACTTTTAAACGCGGATTTTTTAAAGAATTTTTTTTCAAGGACCATCTGACCTTCTGAAGTTGATTTTTTAAAAGATTGATTTCAAGAACCATTTGTCCCTCCAACTTCGATTTTTTAAAGAATTTTTTCCAAGGACCTTCTTACCCATAAACGTGGATATTTAAAGAATTTTTTTAAGGACCATCCCAACAATAAACGTGTATTTTTTAAAGATTTTTTCAAAGAACCTTCTGACCCATAAAAGTGTATTTTTTAAAGATTTTTTCCAAGGACCTTTTGGCCCATAAACGTGGATTTTTTAAAGATATTTTTCCAAGGACCTTCTGACCCATAAACGTGGATTTTTTTAAGAATTTTTTCCAAGGACATTATTACCCATAAACGTGGATTTTTTTAAGAATTTTTTCCAAGGACCTTTTGACCCATAAACGTGGATTTTTTAAAGAATTTTTTCTAAGGACCATCCCAACAATAAACGTGGATTTTTTAAAGAATTTTTTTCCAAGGACCATCCCAACAATAAACGTGGATTTTTTAAAGAATTTTTTTTCAACGAACTTCTGACCCATAAACTTGGATTTTTTAAAGAATTTTTTCTAAGGACATTATTACCCATAAACGTGGATTTTTTAAAGAATTTTTTCTAAGGACCATCCCAACAATAAACGTGGATTTTTTAAAGAATTTTTTCCAAGGACCTTTTGACCCATAAACGTGGATTTTTTAAAGAATTTTTTCTAAGGACCTTTTGACCCATAAACGTGGATTTTTTAAAGAATTTTTTCCAAGGACCATTTGACCCATAATCGTGGATTTTTTAAAGAATTTTTTCCAAGGACCATTAGACCCATAAACGTGGATTTTTTAAAGAATTTTTTCCAAGGACCTTTTGACCCATAAACGTGGATTTTTTAAAGAATTTTTTCCAAGGACCTTTAGACCCATAAACGTGGATTTTTTAAAGAATTTTTTCCAAGGACCTTTTGACCCATAAACGTGGATTTTTTAAAGAATTTTTTTCCAAGGACCTTTTGACCCATAAACGTGGATTTTTTAAAGAATTTTTTTCCAAGGACCATCCCAACAATAAACGTGGATTTTTTAAAGATTTTTTTCCAAGGACCATCACAACAATAAACGTAGATTTTTTAAAGAATTTTTTTCAACGACCTTCTGACCCATAAACGTGGATTTTTTAAAGAATTTTTTTCAACGACCTTCTGACCCATAAACGTGGATTTTTTAAAGAATTTTTTCCAAAGACCTTCTGACCCATAAACGTGGATTTTTTAAAAATTTTTTTCCAAGGACCATCTGACCTTCCCATGTGGATTTTTAAAGATTTTTTCCAAGGGCATTCTCACCCATAAACGTGGATTTTTTAAAAATTTTTTTCCAAGGACCATCTGACCTTCCCATGTGGATTTTTTAAAGATTTTTTCCAAGGGCATTCTGACCCATAAACGTGGATTTTTTAAAGAATTTTTTTCAAGGACCTTCTGACACATAAACGTGGATTTTTTAAAGAATTTTTTCCAAGGACCTTCTGACACATAAAAGTGGATTTTTTAAAGAATTTTTTCAAGGACCATATGACTTGAATTTTTTGAAGATATTTTTTAATAGACCATCGGTCCATCAAATGTGGATTTTTTAGGGAATTTATTTCAAGAACCAAATGACCTTCCAAGGATGATTGTTTCAAGGACCTTCTGACCAATAAACGTGAATATTTTAAAGAGTTTTTTCAACGACCTTCTGACCCTCAAATGAGGAATTTTTAAAGAACTTTTTCAAGGACCTGCTGACCTTCAAAAGTTGATTTTTCAACGAAGTTTTTTCAAGGACCATTCAGTGGCCACATATTCATCAAACGTGGATTTTTTGACAAAGATCAACATTTGTAGACCTGTTTTTAAAAAATTTACAAATTCAAATAAAATTTAATTTAATGTCAAAACTCGTCGAAATGGAATTTAGAATTTTTATCTTCACCGAAATCCATTGAAATTCAATGAGGAAACAACAAAAAAATCCAGAAAAAAATAACATTCAGTCCACGACAATATTTCGACATTGAGGGACCCATATAACCCACTTGGCTCAGGAAAATTTTGCAAATGAAACTCCTCATCGTTTTGTTTTGTCTTGTAACATTTCTAGGCCCTGTCTTGTGTGGCATTCTTGGGTCCTTGGGAAATGCTGTGAGTATTCCAAAAAAATATTGTGATTTGTTTTTTTTTTTAAATATAATTTTTCACAGATGATGAAAAAAGCTTTTCCCAAACTGCAGTCCAAAATGTCTGGTGGCCAAAAATCATCATCTTCCCGGGGC